GCTTTTTCCGGAGGATCGGGGCCAGTCTAGACGCTCTTTTCCGGCTTTTTTAAAAGCCGGAAAAAAGCGGCGGACATTTTTATTTAAATGCCGCGGGGGATATTTAAATCCCCCGCGGATTTCCCTACGACGACTAGTGAAATTTACATGCCCCTTCCGGAAAAGGGGCCAGTGTAGACGTAGCCAGGCTGTGTCTACACTGGCCAGTTTTTCCGGAAAATCAGCCGCTTTTCCGGAAAAACTTGCCAGCTGTCTACACTGGTCGCTTGAATTTCCGCAAAAGCACTGACTTCCTACTGTAAGAAATCAGTGCTTCTTGCGGAAATACTATTCTGCTCCCGTTCAGGCAAAAGTCCCTTTTGCGCAAAGCTTTTGCGCAAAAGGGCCAGTGTAGACAGCTCAGATTTTTTTTCCGGAAAATCAGCCGCTTTTCCGGAAAAACTTGCCAGCTGTCTACACTGGTCGCTTGAATTTCCGCAAAAGCACTGACTTCCTACTGTAAGAAATCAGTGCTTCTTGCGGAAATACTATTCTGCTCCCGTTCAGGCAAAAGTCCCTTTTGCGCAAAGCTTTTGCGCAAAAGGGCCAGTGTAGACAGCTCAGATTTGTTTTCCGCAAAAAAGCCCCGATCGCGAAAATGGGGCTTTGTCTCTAAGGTGCCACAGGACTACTCTTTGTTTTTAAAGTTACTAACTAACACAGCTTCCTCTCTAAAACTTTGCAAAAGAAACAGTGAAGTTACTTACTTGCCCAGGCAGTTAGTGTTTGAGCTAATGTCCTCTCAGACATTGGGCCCTGGTTTAGATCCTTTCCACCTTGGCTGCATGTGTTGAATGGTATCAAGTATTAATTCTTACTGTACTGTTTCCACCAAAAGAGGCATTTTGCATTTCAGCAGAGGCATAACTCAAAGTGTACACTTGCAGTTGGCAATTAAAATAGATTGTTTTAAAGTGGGGTGGGCAAGAGACGATCCACCAAGCCTGTTGATCTGACCCACAGCCCACCCTGATGAGACCCTGAGGCTACTCAAAACAGCAGATGGCTCCCTCTAGGTACCACGCGTCCCTAGTGAAGGAGAAGGGGGAGACTTTGTGCGCTGCCCCCACTCCCTACCCCAACCCAATCACCCCCTCGAAAGAAAAGTGCAGCCTTTGGCCACTTACCAAAAATTTGGAGTGCCCCCCCCACGAAAAATTATTGCCCACTCCAGTTTTAAAGTATAAATAACAAAGTTCCAGTTTCCCAATTCAGATTACATTAAATAGAAGTCTCAGAATTACAAAAACCCCAAATGCTTTGAAAATATAACTGCACATTAAACATTTCACAGTCCTGTTAAGGATGTGCAATAAGTATTATTTTTTATGCTGCATTGAAGAAGTTGGATAATTTATACCAGTCCAAAGCATATTAAACAAACATTATTGCTGAGCTAGATCTTTGCATTTGAGTTAGTGCAGCCACCGAGAGAATGAGACAAACTCTGCATGTCCTGCTCAGAATGAAATACAGCAATTTGTTCCCTCTCCTGGTGCCCAAACAGCATGCTATCCATACAGGGAAGATGCTATTTTCATAAATTCTTTATGCAATTTACTTGGGAAAAGCTGGATTTTATTAAACTGATATTCTTCCAAAAACTCCTCACATACTTCTCTCTTTGAAATGTTTTATTTCTCCAAATCATTATGATTTAAAAGTAGCCCGTTAATAACCTTACCAGATTTGCTTCTCTGTTTTACATAGTGTTAGACTAACCGGAAGAACTCCTGAATATGCCAAAGTCATACACATGCTGATTATTTGGGGAAAAGGAAAGTCATGTGTATTGTTTCTTGTTTTTCTCCTTCGCCAAATCCACATCCCTCTCCCAAAGAAACCCACAAACCTTTTAAATGTTTAGACTGAAATTTTCAAAGGGACTTTAGAGTTAGCACCCAGCTATATTTCAAAGATGATTCAAGCCTAATACTTTCATGAACACAAGAACAGCCATACTGGGTCAGACCAAAGGTCCATCTAGCCCAGTATCCTGTCTTCTAAGAGTGGGCAATGCCAGATGTTCCAGAGGAAGTGAACAGAACAAGGAATCATCAAGTGATTCCTCTCCTGTCATCCATTTCTGACATACAGAGGCTAGGGACACCATTCCTACCCATTTTGGCTAATAAGTATTGATGGACCTAACCTCCATGAATGTACCAATTTCTGTTTTGAACCCTATTAAAGTCCTGATCTTCACAACACCCTCTGGCGAGGAGTTCCAAAGGTTGACTGCACTGCCAGTGTTCCCTCTAATCTGAGTGGCAGCACAGCTTCACAGGTGATTAGTCAGCCCTGCCCAGTCAGTCAGCTCCTTGCAGGGAGCCTTGAGCCTCTAATTGGGAGGGACTGATTAATCACCTGTGAAGCTGTGCTACCCTGCAGTTTAGAGGGAACATTGTGCTGTGTGAAGAAAAATTTCATTTTGTTTGTTTTAAATTTGCTGCCTATTAATTTCATTTGATGACCCCTAGTTCTTTTTTAATTCATGAGTCTAGCGCTGTCCTCTAAAGCCAAAACCATTAATCTGTTGGCACCACCCCTCACTTTTCCAGTGGTATAGATCTACCCTAACTCAATACAATACCTGGGAGTATGCTTCATCACACATAAAGACACACACTAGCTAGTCAGCTAAATAGCAGCATGGGTGCAGTGCCACAGGCTAGCTGCCCAGTTACATGCACAGGGGGTCAGATATAATTCTGCTCAGACAGCTAGCCTCAGACAGCAGAGGCAGCACCACTGTTCCCAGGTGCTGTTTAATAACATTTTTGCTTGCTGCATTGCTAGCTACATCTATAACACCAGTTTTGACACTAATACCCTTCCCACCCAGGCACAAAAAAAGCTAGCTGAAATGAAGTAGTGCTTTGTACTCCAGGCAGCTGGCCTGCCTGAAATTAGGGGGTGATGAAACTTGGCTGAAGTTTATATTGAGACTGGGAAACAGCATCTTAAATTATAAATACCCCATCGTTAATCCAATCACTCTGTGCTGCTAACCCATCACTGGAGCTTGCTGCAATGTTGTTTCACAGTGTGGTTACTCCCATTCAAACCAGGCTTGTTCAATTGCAGTAAATAAGAGCTCATCTACACTTGAAATGCTGCATAGCTGTGCCACTTTAGCACTTCAGTATAGGGAGGGATTTTCCCATTGACATAGGTAATCCACCTCCCAGAGGGGCAGTACATAGGTCAGGGAAAGAATTCTTCCACTAATTTAGCAATGTCTGTTCTGTGGGTTAAATATGCTTTATGACATCACTCAGAGATTCACACTTCTGAGTGAGGTAATTGGATTGACCTAAGTTTTAGTAGACTAGGCCTCACTCAAGCAAACTGTTGCAGAGAGAAAAACCCTTAATTCTGTTTGTAGTTTTGTTAATTCAGTGCAGAACAGTCACAAAGAAATGAGGAAGGCAAGAAGTAGAAGCAGGAGAGTGAATTGTGAGAGAATTTTGTTTTTGAAAATCAGGGGCTGTTGATTCAGAACACAAGAAATTACTCACTCCTCTATCTTTTCCATTGCATAATACTAATATCAATTAGTTAATTATAAGTGCCAAGCAGCTAAATTTATTCAGTTAACTCTGAGTTTATAGACTGTTCATTGAAGATTTGCAATGCTGCCCCTTCTACTAGGTTAGATAAGAAGGCTTCAAAATATATTAATGGTCAAATATTTTCCTCGGTCTTTGCGCAATTTCCACTAACATCAGTGGATTTTCTGCTCTTTATCAAAAGCAGTATATGGCCCAAATTATATTGATGCATCTCAAGCAAATCCTGGGGGAACCATGTAGACGTCCTGATTACCCAGCATTTCTTTCTGGCAGTCAAAAAAAAAAGACATAGAAGCACATCCTAGGTTGGTGTAAATTATTATAATTCCATTAAAGTCAATGGAGCCATGACAGTTTATACCAGGTAAGGATCTGACTCCTAATATTTTCAGAGATTCAGACACTGATTCCCTTACTTTCATTGACTAGCACCATGTTCCTTACTAAACAGTGTACTCACCGACTGCAATTCCGCAGAGAAGCAGCAGGGAGTAAGGTCCACATTCTTTTGTGGCTATGTTAGCTAAGAATGCTGAGGGCAGTGCGTGGGAACTGTACCAGAAATGTTCCATCCATGAATAAGTGTCCTTCAGAGGGAAATAGATGAAGAGAGCCACCACACGACTCAGCTGAGCTGAAACCTTGTATTAGCTAAAACATTTTATTGTACTCTACATGAGAAGAATAGGGTTGTCTCAATCACAATGTCTCCTTGTACTTTCTTTGGGGGAAGCGTGCCTATACATTGCACCTTTCTCAGGGCTGTACCTGAAGGCACAAGCTTGTTGTGTTTAAATAGTCCCAATGGGTGAGGTGCTACAACTGAGGGCAAGTCTACACTACAAAATTAATTGAACCTAAGTTATGTCAATTCACTGCTGCCGCAGTATTTGAATCATCTTTACACATCCATGCTCCAGTCCTTTTACTGGTGGTGCACGTCCTCACCAGGAATCAGCAATTCCAAATCTATCAGATATGTCCTATATCTAGCTATATTCTGGATGAGTGTGTTTCTGGGTGTGTGCATACATCACATACAATATAGTTCATTAGCTACTAAATAGGCAATTTTGGAAAATTCCCAGTGTGATGCATGGTGGGATGGCTTCTGAAAAGCAGCAACAGTCAATGTAAGCCACACAGTGTCTATTCTGACACTACTTCCACCTAACTATATCTACTTAAGTACTACACCTCTCAAGGAGGTTCAGTTATTAAGTCAGTGTAATCGGCAAGTCACACTGCTGTGAGCTACATTAGTATAGATGCTTACAGGGTTAGGTCAGTGTAAGCTGCCTCATGTAACTTATGATAGTAAATTATACTAGGCAATAAGATGTTTGGCTGGTCCTTAGAAGTATTCGTGCAGCTTCTTCAGTGTTTTTTGGTTTTCAGGGGATTTTTTTCCCTTCCCCAGAACTGCACAGACACTACCTAACAATTATTTTGTTTTTTCAACAGTCGGACAAGTTCATCAAAGTTTCAGTTAGAAATGCAAACATATAATTATAGTGTCCACTGCCAGCAAAAAAAAGTGGAATTTTCATTTGTCATGATGAATATGCAGCTCTTTTTAAAACTTCCTTCCTGTATTATTAAAAAATAAAAAAGAAGGAAAAAGAAACAGAGGGGGATTGGTATCTGACATCTACATGAGAGAAATGGCAGTTATATTAAGACACTTTTGTCCCTTTCAATAGCAAAAGTACAAAGACTTTGCAGCTTTTCATCAGATATACAGTATGTGAGCATATAATATATCTATTTAATCTACTGATCATGAGAAATGTTTCACAGGTTAAAATAACCTCAGGTAGAGAAAAAATCCATTTATATGGATTAAAATCATTAACAGTATTTTAACACATGCATTTGTATAATAAGCTGCATAAAACATACCCTTCCAACCACTGCCCCGTAGACAGATTATTTCATAATTGTCCATTTGGGGTAGGGGGTTCATATCTTCTTCTCAAACACTTGATACTGGTTATTGTGGCAGGCAAGATATTGGACAGAATGAACCACTGGTCGGACCCTACCTGGGAATTCCTATATTCCTAAACATATTAGTCATGTTAAGATGTGATCTCACTTAAAAAGAGAAAAATAGCTAAGTAACTGACCATGTTAAATGAGACACAATTATGGCCAACTTGTCTCCTCTTTTTTCCCTTGGATTCTTATCAATTGGGAAGAAGGAGAAAGACTTTTTTTTTATCTGTACCAAATACATATATTTCAATGATAATATATTCAGCAGGCAATTTTGGAAAACCTAAGTCTTTGTGATGGCTTCCTAGCCTGTCAGATTCCATTAAATGATACATTGCAAACACTTTTATCCTGACTTCTGCACCTGCCAATGACAGGGAGATAACTGCAGGGAGGTTGTGCTGTCATTTAGGGCTGGATTGTGCCCTAGATTAGAGTTATATATAGGGTATGTCTATGTAGATTTTGGTGCCCATGGCAGTGAGCTTCCCAACCCCAGACTCAGGCTAGCAGGGCATGCAGTAGCACTCTAGAAATAGCTGCTTCATCTTCTGCTGTAGCTTAAGCACTGAGGTGGAGAGGGAAGAGCCTCAGAACCTGAGCTCAGCCCATGCTGCATCTTCCAAGTGTTGTCCATACAGCTACTTTTAGAGCACTAGCAGAAGCCTTGCTAGCTCAAGTCTATCAACCTGCCCAGGCCTGATTCTGGCCTGCATATTTATACCTGCCTCTGGAAATTTCCACTACATGAATCTGACGAAGTGGGTCTTTGCCCACGATAGCTTATGCTCCAACACTTCGGTTAGTCTATAAGGTGCCACAGGACTCCTTGCCATATGTCCAGGAGGCTCATTCCTATAGGCCCTCTGTGGAGCTATCCTAAATTCCACATGGTTCTTAGGGAAGGATTGTATCTTTTGGATGTCCATTTCCGAGTTTCTGCTGCATGAGAGAATGGTTGTCTATGCACATTACACCGTCCCTTGTGTTTTGCCACTGCACTCTGAGCCTTGGACAATTGTTGCCACAGCTTTATGCAGATACACTTCATCCATTTTCTAGCAGTGTAAATAAAAGCAGAATCACAATCTGAGGATCATAACCAACAGAAATGTCAGTGCAGAAAACAGTGCAGAGATGTACACAGTCCATAACAACCAAATAGGGGGGCACTCCTATGCTATTTTGATTTGGCCTCCAGGAACTAGGATTTGTACATGTGCGCTGTTACAGGGAGTACATGGAATTCAAAGGGATATAAATAAGTAGTAAGGAAAGATTAAGGCTACTGAGTCTTTGAGACTTTACAGCAGCACCAATCTCTCATGTAGCCACTCTAGGCCACCAGCAGAGAGCTCTTCCGTCAACATAATTAAACTGCTCCCAACAAGCAGTAGTAACTATGTTGGTGGGAGTAGCTCTCCCATTGACATAGCTCTTTGTACACTATCTTTTCTGCCAGTGAAATTTAAGTCAGTCCAGAGGGTGGTTTTTGCATGCACCTGAGCAATGTTCATTGTGCTGACATAAATGGTAGTGCAGATATGGTGTGATTATCAACAAGGAAAGTTACTATGGATTAACAAATGGCAGGGCTACATCTCAGCATGGGTGGAAAGAACAACCCACAAGGGGGATCACAGTAGAAATTTTTATTAGCAGTTAATGTGTGGCATAGTTACTGTGAAGGCTCTGAAACTTTGTTCTAATAAGGACTTGTCAACAGAGACAACAACTTGGAGGGACAGAATGGGTCATATGCCCCTCTCCAAATCCTGTGGGGGGAGGGGAAGGGAGGGAAGGGAGGAGGCAAAGGGACAGAGGCCAGAGTCAGAAGGGAAGAGGCAGGCCCAGAGCCTCTCCTCTACTAGCCACTGCACTCAGGTAGGAAGCTTATCAACATTAGAATTAGCACAAAATGAAAAAATTGTTCCAGAGTTATTTACTGAAATGTTTTAGTAATTTTGCTTTGGCCAGAGTAGCGCTCCACATATTTTGACTTTCACAAATATTCATGTTCACAGGCAGAACTTCAAAACTACATGGAAATTATAGGCTTAAACTGATTTCCATTTGCCTATATAAACCTATGGTTCACATTACAACATCCGAGCACCTAAGAATCACTCATAGATTTTATCCTCAGAACATCTCAGGCCCTCTTGATTGACCCCCGGATGACGGACATAGAATTTGGACCATGGGGGGCAGCCCGAGGTAAAATTAGACGGGATACAGATTGGGGAGGAACTCCCGGACCCGAAACGAGAACAGTTGTACCGCACTCGCGAACGATTCCAACGAGTGTTGACGAATCGACCCAGGCAGACTAACTTAATGCACCACGAGATACAGACTGAGCTAGGAAAGGTAGTGAGAGACAACATACGCCCACTCCCCAGGAAGCTATGGGACATGGTGAAAGAGGAACTCCAATCTATGCTAGAATGGGGGGTAATACAAGAATCCTATAGTGAATGGCGGAGCCCTATCGTACTGGTGCCAAAACAGATGGGTCTATGAGATTCTGCATAGACTTTCGAAAGGTGAATGCCATTTCCCATTTTGACGCCTATCCCATGCCGCGCATAGACGAGTTGTTAGGCCGTCTCGGGAGAGCGACTTACCTGTTGACTCTGGATCTTACGAAGGGGTATTGGCAAATCCCGTTGTCCGCGGAAGCACAGGCAAAAACAGCCTTTGCCACCCCCTTTGGGCTGTATCAATTTAGAAATATGCCGTTCAGTCTACACGGAGCTGCAGCCACGTTCCAGAGACTCATGAACCGGATTCTAAGGGACCACCAAGAATACACAGCAGCGTATATTGACGATATTATAATATTCAGCGAGTCCTGGGAAAAGCATTTAGACCACATAACGGCCGTGTTAGAAGCTCTATGACAGGCAGGGTTGACGGCCAATCCAAAAAAATGCCAGTTTGGGAGGGCGGAAGTTTCATATCTGGGGTACACGGTGGGGAGGGGGAAGCTCAATCCCCTGGTTGATAAAGTGCAAGCCGTGCGTGACTACCCTCCCCCGACCACGAAAAGGAAGCTACGCCAGTTCCTTGGGCTAGCGGGTTATTATAGGCGGTTTATAGCTAACTTCTCTTCTTTAGCTGCCCCTCTTACAGATCTAACGCAGAAAGGACAATCGAGAAGATAAGATGGACGCCATCGTGTGATGCGACCTTCCGAGGGCTAAAAGCCCGGCTGGTGCACGCCCCAGTGCTGGCCCAGCCGGACTTCACTAAGCCTTTCACGCTGCAAATGGACGCCTCAGAGGTGGGGCTGGGGGCCGTACTGACGCAAGAGGAGGAAAGCAGGAAACACCCCATTTTGTATCTCAGTTGCAAACTTTTTCCCCGGGAAAAGGGGTACGCCACGATTGAGAAGGAAGCATTGGCCTTAAAATGGGCTATTGACTCATTATGGTACTTTCTTTTAGGGGATAAATTTACCGTGGTGACGGACCATGCCCCCCTGCAATGGATGCAGAATATGAAGGACATGAATCCCTGGATTTTGCAGTGGTACCTCAGCTTGCAGCCATACCAATTTCAAGTGACGCATCGGGCAGGTGTTATCAACGGTAATGCGGACTGGCTGTCGCGTACAGCCGAAACCCAAGGGGAAGCCACGGCGAGTATATCGCGAGACTTGAGGGGGAAGGTGTGTGGCAGGGCAGCCCCACCCCCCCTAAAACGCCCGCGTCTCCGCGGCACCGGGGCAGTGGCGCCTGCACCGCGCCGGGGCGAGAAACCACGGAAAGCCCTGAGCGGGGAGCAGCGGTGTTTCGGAGGGGCAGCAACACGGGGGAACATGCCCGCGGAGAGGGGAGGCCGGCCGGGATGACGTCCATAGTGATGTCACCCGCGCGACGCCGGAGACTGTCGCAGGGCGATGATGCCGAGGAGAGCATCATCCCCTCGCGCCCGCGGGGACTTTAAAAGTGGACTCCGGTCCGGAGGAAGGGACGGATCCCAGGGAGCGGGAGCACCGCAGCAGGGACCAGGCGGATCCGGACACTGGAGACCCTGGGTGAGTTTTAACCCGGGGACCCCAGACTAGCATCAGCTCACGGCTGGGGAAGAAGTGGACCAGGGCAGTAGGCGTCTCGACCCCCTCCGCTAGGTAAGGACACGCGTTCTGACCTTAGGGCCCTGGGTCGGGGTTCGGAGCGAGGGTGGGCCCAGACCCCTTTCCCCAGCGAGCAGAGGGCAACTAGGCACGCTGAGAATATTGTGAGGCCATGCAACTTAATAAACTGTAAGACACCCGGCACATCTGTAAGGGTGTATTGCCTGGGGAGTTGGGGGCACGGACGCGAGTGATCCCCTACAGGAGGTTTGAGCAAGTGACACAGAGGAAGTTGGGGGGGGGGGTGAAACAGGTGTTAAATCCATATCTCAACCTCTAATCCAGTGCCCTAAGCACTAGAACATCCTTTCTATAGTAAAATTCTTGTGAAGGAGCCATGAAATCCCTTTTCATGCTAAGTTCTCCCACACTCTTCATCATACTTCTTCAAACTATATTTTGTCCTTCATTTTTTCATCACTGGAATTTTTAGATAATCTTCAAATGATAAACCTTGAATATATGTTTTATTCAGAGGTAACTATGGATGCAGACTGGTTATATAAAGAATTATAGCTATTTTAAAAATTCTTTGACCAAACTATTATTACCAAATGCAAAAGAAACTTCATAATGGCCCATGCCTGAACACAAGAATTTCTGCATACATACCTTTTGGTGCACCCCCAAACTGAATGCAGACATCAAGCAATGTGTCTGTGCAAGTCAGGCACACTAAAAGGGATCACAGACTTTTGAGGTGCAGTTTTGTAAGGTGGATTAGATTGCCAGCCTAACAAAGTAATGTTTTCATAAATAACTACTTCTCGGTCCAAAGGCAGCCCTCAAGAATAATTTTTTTCTCACGTGGTCCGATTTGTTATGTGTCAGACTGAAGGAACTTGCTGTTTCCCAACCTTCCTCTTTCAAAAAGGTCATTGCAGTTTGGGAAGGAAAAATTTGACCATTTATAACCATCATAGGTCCCCTTCTCCCACCTGGCTAAAACTGACACCACAAAAACCTGTCAGTCAAAGCAAGAGACTGAAAAATTCCAATGACTCATGTAGCTCTGCACCAGCCAACACAATTATCTAACAGTTCTTATCATAAATTGCGCATCAATATTCTGGGCTATTCCAAAATGTAACTTCGAACTTTCTTCTGCTGATTGATTACTCTAGTAAATTATCCTTTCCCATAGCTGTTTAGTTATTGCTGTTTACAATTGGCCTCTACTTGTTGACATGAAGGAAACATATTCTAAACTGTGTTTAGAAATGGATTGCAATTTAACTTTGTTGGATTGCTTACTTGTCTGGAAAAGAGATATTCAATATATACTGATTAATGTCATGTTTCTCAAGACACAGTGGCTTTATAAATCTTCAAAGATCTTACCTCAAAGGAGTCACAAATGCACACATTCACATTCTATGTGACTGCCATTTTGGATTTGTACCATGACGCAGCCACAGCTTCTGTAGCTAAGAATTTACATCTTAATTTTAATGACTCTTTGAATATGTTGTGTGAAATCCTACTCCATTTAAGTCAATGAGGGTGCATCTCCACAGCACCCTTACCTTGAAATAAGCTGTGCAGTTTGCGCTACAAAAATTATGTAATTTATTTCAATCTATAGTTTCTTTTGAAAAATTTCGAAATAAGGTGCTATTCCAAAACGTCTTTTAACTGCGTGCAATGAGGTTTACAGGGATGTCGGAACACTGAGCCTGTTACATTTTGATATAATGGGCTTGCTCTTAAGATGCAAAATAGATGTAGATGTAGATCTCCACTGTGTAAATGTAGCCTCAGTGGTTTGCATCTGACTTCTGACGAACCAGAATTTGACCAACTATAATTTTAGGGTATCATTTCATAAATGCATGGCAAAGATCCATTGCATATTAATGGTGCAATATTTTATGCTGCAGCATTTTTCAAATTTTAAATGTAATTTGTCCTGCTCCCTTGCAAAGAAGAGAGTGAGAGATAAAAGAGAGCAAAAGAGCATTGGCAGGTCTTTGTAAAGCATCTGTTCAAACTTTCTCCACTTCGGTCATGATTCAATTTAAAGAATCAACACATATCTGTACATCATACGTCTGTCTCATTCACAGTCAGTTTTTGTGTCTTCACTCATACTGTGAAGCTCAGCTTTAATTTTTAATTAAATAACTCTAGAAAATAAGATCGAATAAAAAGTTACATTTGTCGATTTAATGTTGAAACAGTTATTCAATATACAGTATTGCCTTACGATTCCTTTTAATTTCACTGACTAGTAATCAAGATTCAATTATTTTTCTAAGACTACTTAGACTCTCAGGCCTTGATGGTCTTTTCAAAAAAGGGTTAAACTCTATAAGCAGCAAATGTCTCTAAACATTTCTAGGCAATATGTCCCTTTTTCTGCAATAGTAATTTCTTTGTCAACTAAGTAACAAGTTCATTCCCCTATAAAGAAAAATAACCTTATTTGTTCAATGTTTTTAAAATTAGCTTTTCACATTGCATACAAGCCTTAATTCTCCAATCATTTACACTGACTCATTCCAGTTCAATAGACTTGTTCCTAATTTACACTTATGTGAGTGAGTACAGAATGAGGCCAACAAGTGTTAATTTGTTATTAGAGTGGCTAAAGCACAGCCTTAATTTTATACAAAATGTATGTCAATACACTACTTCCTGTACATATTTCAATATGTCATCCTCCATTTTGGGGAGGAGGAAAGAGGAAATGTATCAACAGCAGAGAATATATATAGATATAGATATAGATATAGATATAGATATTACCATTGCTCCAACTTAGGCTCTACTTTGTGAGCTTCAGATTGTACTTAAATAGCACATAGATGTTATACCAGCCCTCTTCACAGGGGGTTATTTGCTAATTAAAGAGTCTATAATGAACTCTCAAGGGTGAATTATTAAAGCTCACGGGAACCAACATCTCATTGCTGAGAAAACTGACCTGTGCATCCAGAGAGAGTACCTTGATTAGGAATTGAATGAACACAAATCAGTAGCCCAATTCTGTTCTTAACTACACTAGTGACTTATATGTGGAATAAGTCCCTTCACGTGAGCAAAGGAAAGAATAACTCCCTTCAAGTGTGCAACTGTGAGCAGAATTTCTCTGCGGAAACATGGAGAACTTTGTCCAAAATTACTGCAAATCAACATCTTTTTCACCTTCTGATGCAATTATAAGTCCTTCTGTACAGATTCTGATCCCCAAACCTTTTTTCTAAATAATATAAATACTGGTTTAAAATGAAATAATTAGAAAGATGTATGCATAACCCTAGAGTATGTCTACACTGCAGGTTTTTTTCAGAAAAACAGCCGTTTTTCCAAAAAATCCCTTCACATAAGTCCACACTGAAATCACGTTCTTTCAAAAAAACAACCCAAAAGAACAGAGGGGTTTTTCCAACATAAACCTCTTTATATGAGGAAGAAGCTTTTTTCTGAAAGAGCTCTTTCGGAAAAAGGCATGTGGGAATGGGGAAGAGGGACTTCTTTTGAAAGAAAAGGAAAGAAGAAAAGGCATAGGTGCCCTGGTGGCCACTCCGTCCATAGTAATCACAGCTTAAACACAAGATAGTGTTCAATTCAGTGTGGACGCTATCTTTCAAAAAAGCGGTTCACTGTCTTTCGGAAGAAGTTTTTCCAGAAGATCTCTTCCAAAAAAGCTTTTTCTGAAAGAAGCCAGCAGTCTAGATGTAGCCCCAGTGACAAAATATACTCTTTGTTCTCATTTTGCACACTATTGTAATTATGTTTCTACAAAGGGTATCTTGTGAGGTATCATTTAAAGACCCATACTTTACCAATCAGTATTATCATGGCACAATGCATATAGCAGTTATATAAGTGAAGTTATAAACATACACTGAAATCATGACTAAAATGAACAATGTAAAAATAAAAATAAATATTTCTACTGATTTTTTTCTCTTTTTCATTAACCCTAACACAATTATACTATATAGCATAAACCGCCCAGTAACTGACACTTAAAAGTTTTAACTGTTTTGAACTTTTTACAGTGTCATTTAACTGTTTTGAACTTTTTACACTGCCAGTCAGCAGTGGTGCTGAAGTTGCCGGCAGCAGGGAAGGGCAGCAGGCTGAGGGGACCAGAGGCAGAGGACCTTCCCTGGTCTGGCAAATTCCCTCATCCAGGACCATGCAGGACCTAATGGTGCCAGACCAGTGAGGTCCAACCTGTATATGTTAAGTGGCATTTGTTAACATTAGCAGTCAGTTGTTCAAATTTTTCAAGTCCAACACAATACAAATTCTTCATGGGCACAGCATGTTTGAGACCATGGCTCATAACAAGGCAGAACAGCTGTTGCAGGTTACTGACTGGCCTTCACTAAGCAGTGAGCAGTGCTAAGTCAACTATGAGACTGGACAGCCCAAGTGCTTCTAAGAATGATTGAATTGCCAGACCCCATCCCCATGCAGCAAACGCAAGTGGTGCTCTTTTGAAGCTATGTTGTGACACATTTTAACTGTATTTACATACACAAGCATGCTCCACAATGTGAAATAAATAATATAACTTGGCTCCTGACATGACAATGATGCACTATTTTACAAGTACCATATATGATACTTTCGCTTATGAGAGAGAACATATTAATTATTTTTAAATAGAGAAAAAATCATTATAACCAACCACCTGCTTCTTTTGTATGATTGGGCCCATCCTGGTTTCACTGTTTTATCTGATCCAGTATGTTCAAGTTGAAGTGTCTTGGTAACAAATGTTGAGCATATTATACCCTTAAAGAAATAATGTACTTGACATATTTTGAATTGTCGAGGAAAGGACTGGGCAGTGCAAGACATGCATTTCTGGGAAAAGATCTACCACTGGAGATGTGTTGGAGTCACACTGCAGCATCTCCAAGGCTGGTAAGAGTCAAGGTGTGTCTGACTGCCTGTAGCACAGAAAGACATAACTTAGAATACCCTGTATGCTAGAGGCTGTTTGTGAGCAATCCTGGTTGAAGGCAACTACACCAAGGCATTGTAAAGGGCACTCTAGGTAAAAGAACAGGGGTAACACAGCTTCTTATTCATCTGGGTTGTATCCTGGTATATTGCACCCCATAAACACTTGCTCTCAGTCACATTTCAAAATATATTCTTTCCTTTCAATAAACCTAATTTAAGAAAAAGAAAATAAACCCCATTTAGTTTATTTAAGCTAGAAATAAAACACAAATTAGAGTTGATTGTCAATGTGGTGTAATCGAGGTTGCACTGGAAATAGCATTCTGAACACTTATTTCCATGTATATATAACCTGTCATTTAGAGCCAAATTTTTAAATATGTATAGCCAAGTTTAACTTATGAAGAGAGTGTGTGTATGTGTGTGCACGCATCCATTCATGCAAAACTCAGATATGATTTTGTGGAGGAGGAGACGGCTCAGGGTGGGCACTAGAAGCTGGTTACTTCTGGCAGCAGGCACTGCTCCACCCCTGCTCCGAACCCTCCCGCTGTGGTACTAGGAAACCGTTATGCTCTTCTTCATACAGGAGATAAGGTATCACCCCCTACAACAGAGGAGGAGAAGCCTCGTACCCCCAAGGCTGGGAGGTCTGCTGCCACCACTGTGAATGGGAAACGTAGGGTAATAGTGGTCGGAGACACTCTTCTGAGGGGGACAGAGGTGCCCATCTGTTGCCCTGACATTTCATCTCGGGAGGTATGCTGTCTGCTGGGGGCCCATATAAGAGATGTTGCAGAGGCATTGTCGAGGATTATCCGGACCTCTGACTACTACCCCATGCTACTCATCTATGTGGGCACAAATGATACTGTGAGGTGTGAGCAGATCAAGAGTGACTACAGGGCTCTGGAAGTACGGGTGAAGGAGTTTGGAGCGCAGGTGGTATTCTCTTCGATCCTTCCTGTCGAATGTAGGGGCCTGGGCAGAAAGACAGGTGCATCCAGGAGGTGAATGCCTGGCTGCGAAGATGGTGTTGCCAGAAGGGCTTTGGCTTCCTCGACCATGGGATGCTATTCCAGGAAGGACTGCTAGGCAGAGATGGCGTTCACCTTTTGAGGAGGGGGAAGATCCTATTTGGACACAGACTGGCTAACCTAGTGAGGAGGGCTTTAAACTAGGTTCAACGGGGACAAGTGAGCAAAGCCCACGGGTAAGTTGATAACATGGAGACCTAGGAGATGGGTCAGAAATGAGAAGGAGCGTGGGCTATAATGGCAGAGAGAAAGGAGGGTCAGGGTAAAACTGGGAGGCAAGGTCAAATCAGTATCTTAGATGCCTATATACAAATGTGAGAAGTATGGGTAATAATCAGGAAGAACTGGAAGTGCTAATGAATAAGTATGACATTGCTGGCATCACAGAAACTTGGTGGGATACTACTCATGATTGGAATGTTTGTATGGAAGGATACAGCTTGCTCAGGAAGGATAGACAGGGAGAAAAGGGAGGAGGTGTTGCCTTATATACAAAAAATGAACACACACTTGGAGTGAGGTGGAGATGGACATAGGAGATGGAAGTGTTAAGAGTCTCTGGGTTAGGCTAAAAGGGGTTAAAAACAAGGGTGGTGTCATGCTAGGAGTCTACTACAGGCCACCTAGCCAGGTGGAAGAAGTGGATGAGGCTTTTTTTAAAAAAAATTTTTAAAAATTAACAATAGCATCCAAAGCCCAAGACTTGGTGGTGATGGGGGACTTCTGCTATCCAGATATATGTTGGGAAAATAACACAGCGGGGCACAAACTATCCAATAAGTTCTTGGACTGCATTGGAGACAACTTTTTATTTCAAAAGGTTATAAAAGCTACCAGGGGGAAGCTGTTCTAGATTTGATCCTAATAAATAGGGAGGAACTGGTTGAGAATTTGAAAGTGGAAGGCAGCTTGGGTGAAAGTGATCATGATATCATAGAGTTCAAAATTCTAAGGAAGAATAGAAGGGAGAATAGCAAAATAGAGAACATGGATTTTAGGAAGGCAGATTTTGGTAAGCTCAGAGAGCTGATAGGTAAGGTCCCATGGGAATCAAGACTGAGGGGAAAAACAACCGAGGAGAGTTGGCAGTTTTTCAAAGGGACATTATTAAGGGCCCAAAAGCAAGCTATTCAGCTGCATCGGGAAGATAGAAAATATGGCAAAAGACCGCCTTGGCTTAACCATGACATGTTGCATGAGCTAAAAATAAAAAAGGAGTCATATAAAAAATGGAAAGTAGGACAAATTACAAAGGACGAATATAGGCAAACAACACAGGTATGCTAGTGGAAAGCGGGGAGGTTTAGAAGATAAAATAAAAAAAGACCAAATTAAAAATCACCTAGAAAAGTTAGATGCCTGCAAGTCACCAGGGCCTGATGAAATGCATCCTAGAATACTCAAGGAGCTGATAGAGGAGGTATCTGAGCCTCTAACTATCATCTTTGGAAAATCATTGGAGACAGGAGAGATTCCAGAAGACTGGAAAGGGGCAAATATAATGCCCATCTATAAAAAGGGAAACAAGAACAACCCAGGAAACTACAGACCAGTTAGTTAACTTCTGTGCCATGAAAGATAATGGAGCAAGTAATTAAGGAAATCATCTATAAACACTTGGAAGATGGCAAGGTGATAGGGAACAGCCAGCATGGATTTGTAAAGAAAAATCATGTCAAACCAATCTGATAGCTTTCTTTGATAGGATAACGAGTCCCGTGGATAAGGGAGAAGCGGTGGATGTGGTATACCTAGACTTTAGTAAGGCATTTGATATGGTCTCTCATGATATTTTTATCAATAAACTAGGCAAATACAACTTAGATGGGGCTACTAAAATGTGGGTGCATAACTGGCTGGATAACTATTCTCAGAAAGTAGTTATTAATGGTTATACCTGGAAAGGTATAACAATTGGAGTTCCGCAGGGGTCTGTTTTGGGACCAGTTCTGTTCAATATCTTCACCAACTATTTAAATATCGGCATAGAGAGTACACTTATTAAGTTTGCAGAGGACACCAAACTGGGAGGGGTTGCAACTGCTTTGAAGGACAGAGTCATAATTCAAAATGACCTGGACAAATTGGAGAAATGGTCTGAGGTAAACAGGATGAAGTTTAATAAGGACAAATACAAAGTGATCCACTTAGGAAGGAACAATCAGTCTCACATATACAGAATGGGAAGTGACTATCTAGAAAGGAGTACAGCAGAAGCAACTGTTTAGGAAAAAGTACTGCAGAAAGGGATCTAGGGCTCATAGTGGACCACAAACTGAATATGAGTCAGCAGTGTGATGCTGTTGCTAAAAAAGCAAACATGATTCTGGGATGCATTAACAGGTGTGTTGTGAGCAAGACATGAGAAGTCATTCTTCCGCTCTACTCTGCGCTGCTTAGGCCTCAGTTGGAATATTGTGTCCAGTTCTGGGCACCACATTTCAAGAAGAATGTGGAGAAATTGGAGAGGGTCCAGAGAAGAGCAACAGGAATGATTAAAGGTCTAGACAACATGATCTATGAAGGAAGGCTGAAAGAATTGGGTTTGTTTAGTTTAGAATAGAGAAGATTGAGGGGGGACATCGTAGCAGTTTTCAGATATCTAAAGGGTATCATAAGGAGGAGGGAGAAAACTTGTTCATCTTGGCCTCTGAGGTTAGAACAAGAAGCAATGGGCTTAAGCTGCAGCATGGGAGGTTTAGGTTGGACATTAGGAAAAAATTCCTAACTGTCAGGGTGGTCAAACACTGGAATAAATCGCCCAGGGAGGGTTTGGAATCTCCATCTCTGGAGATATTTAAGAGTAGATTAGATAAATGTCTATCAGGGATGGTCTAGACAGTATTTGGTCCTGCCATGAGGGCAGGGGACTGGACTCGATGACCTCTCAAGGTCCCTTCCAGTCCTAGTATTCTATGATTCTATGATGGTGATAGTGATATTACCACATGGAAAGCAGATATTACCTTTATTTAGTAATTAATTATTTGGTGATCAAAAACACATCTCTTCCCACATTCTGAAGTTTCTCTTCAAGTTCTCCAAGACATAGTAAATGTCTCCAGGGTCTATCATAGAATCATAGAACACTGGAACTGGAAGGGACCTCAAGAGGTCATCGAGTCCAGTCCTCTGCCCTCACGCCAGGACCCAGTACTGTCTAGACCATCCCTGATAGACATTTATCTAATCTACTCTTAAATATCTCCAGGGATGGAGATTTCACAGCCTCCCTAGGCAACTTATTCCAGTGTTTAACCCCCCTGACAGTTAGGAAGTTTTTCCTAATGTCCAACCTAAACCTCCCTTGCTGCAATTTAAGCCCATTGCTTCTTGTCCTATCCTCAGAGGCCAAGGAGAACAATTTTTCTCCCTCTTCCTTATGATGCCCTTTTAGATACTTGAAAACCTCTATCATGTCTTTTCCTTTCCAAACTAAAGAAGCCCAGTTCTTTTAGTCTTCCTTTATAGGTCATGTTCTCAAGACCTTTAATCATTCCTGTTGCTCTTCTCTAGATGTTCTCCAATTTCTCCACATCCTTCTTGAAATGTGAATACTCCAGATGAGATCTAATCAGCGCAAAATAGAGCGGAAGAATGACTTCTCATGTCTTGTTCACGACACTCCTGTTAATGCATCTCAGAATCAAATTAGCTTTTTTTTGCAATAGCATCACATTGTTGGCTCATATTCAACTTGTGGTCCACTATGACCCCTAGATCCCTTTCTGCAGTACTTTTGCCTAGACAGTCGCTTTCCATTCTGTATGTGTGAAACTGATTGTTCCCTCCTAAGTGGAGTACTTTGCACTTGTCCTTATTAAACTTCAGCCTATTTACCTCAGACCATTTTTCCAGATCATTTTGAATTATGACCCTATCATCAAAAGCACTTGCAACCCCTCCCAGCTTGGTATCATCTGCAAACTTAATAAGCGTACTCTCTATGCCAATATCTAAATCGCTGATGAAGATATTGAAGAGAACCGGTCCCAAAACAGACCCCTGTGGAACACCAATTGTTATGCCCTTCCAACAGGATTGTGAACTATTAATAACTACTTTCTGAGAATGGTTATCCAGCCAGTTATGCACCCAATTTATAGTAGCCCCATCTAAGTTGTATTTGCCTAGTTTATTGATATGAAGATTATGTGAGACCATTTCAAATGCCTTACTATTAAGAAGATCATGTCAGACTGTATCAAATGCCTTACTAGGTCTTATTTCCAAACCTAATCAACGACTTAGAAAAGAGAATAATTTAAAAAAACTCAAACCCACAACCCTCCACCTCCTCCACAATTCATATTTTTGCCAAGAAATGAATATAAAAAGTAGGTCTTTTGTTAAAAAAAGCTGTTAAATATTAATGTCCCATTCTGTGTATATAATTAAAGAAAAAGGTCTGGACTTTATCTCAATTAAACCACTGTAACTCCAGACTCCTCTCATTCCATTGATTTGATTAACTCTTTTAAATTCTTTGATATAACTGAGCTTACATCTGATTCATGACATTTGGGTTTTTTATATTCATTTCTTGGCAAAACTATGAATTGTGGAGGAGGTGGAGGGTTGTGGGTTTGAGGTTTTTTTAATTATTCTCTTTTCTAAATTGTTGATTAGAAAATTGGAAACAAGAATCATTTAACACAGACCCTACATTCCAAATGCAGCAATGATATTAGTCACTTGGCTCAGCTGTCTGAAGAAGCAGCAGAGAAGTGCTGTATTATTTAAGTTTTATTAAGATAGCTGTGGTAAAGAGAGAACCACAGTTACAAATAGGTTAATGTTGCACCCAGACCCAGATCCATCCTGTCACAAAGTGAAAAGGAGAGGGTTGGCTTTTGAAGGAGGAGTTCTTTTCTAGAGTTATCCAACTGATGGATGAACTCTTTTTCTTGCTCTGAATAAAAACTAAAATTTATGTCAATCTACTTGCCCAAACCCCCAGGCAAGAGATAAAACTTTGACTCTGCAAGAATATACAGTGCAGTGTTCAGGTCATAATAATAAATATAAACATAGATTTCAGCCAATCACTGAGCAAGAACAGAAAATACAGTAGTCAAACCAAGTTGCAAGTGACAAAAAAAATCATCTGTTTCCTTCCCTCCCCAACTCACAATCAATCATTCACATACATTTATGGTTATTTTAAAAGCAATGCTTTCATTATATTTACATAAGGCTGAAAAAGAGATACAATTTAACATAGAGCCAGCAGTTACAGACTGAAATGGGGTTCCAATAAAAACATTGAATCAGCATCCTTTCAAAGTGCAAACTTTTATTTTGAATACAGGACCATTCTTCTGCATTTCATATTGTTGTAGACATTGATCCATCTAGCAAATAAGTAAATATGTATTTCAGAATACTTACACATCTTCTTCTGGTGTATTCAAATGGAAGTTTATCTTTAGCTTGCTTGATAGAATTTCTTTCTGTGGACTACAAGAAGCATACTTTAAATTCATGACAGAAGTGATATGCCAACCATCCATCCAAATAAAACCATGGCATGGGAAAATTTACTGAATGGGACTGACCTTCAATATTCAGAGCAGCCACAATTTAAATTTGAAAACAAAAGAAGGTGCTGATTCTTAATAACTCTAAAATTACTCTAAGTGGGGTCTGAGTATCTAGCCAACAATTGACAATCAAAAGTATTCTAAAAATCCTATTAATATTTAGATTATAATCTTAATCCTAATTTTAATCTTAATCTGCCTGTCTGTCACTCTGCATTAGGGAGTATTTCAACATCCGCATATACTGAGGCCCTGTCTTGGCCCACCTCTGACAGACATCCAAATAGCCTGTCTCTTTTCCACATGTTGGCCACACATATAATTTGGCATGCCAATAAAGTCTCTTTAAATTTGAAATATGAAATTTCTATCTTAAATACACCCTCTCCTGAAATTATGACTTCAAGTCCCATGCTGTATATGAGAAGAAAGGAGCGCTTTTTAAAACATATTTGCAAAGCTTTCTTTTATTAGCTTCTTGCTTTATGAAATGTTGAAATTCTTTTATATTAAATAATCAAAATTACCCTATTTGTAGGACATAAGGTGGGCTTGAGTAATATTTCTGAAGTGCATTTAGACTGTACAGCTATGCATTGGAGCTAGCTGTTCAGATAAAAGTACAAAACCTAGAAATTCAATATATTACACAGAATAGGATTACATTTTCCATCTCCACTTCTTACTTTTCAGGAAAGATTGATTCAGTTATTGCTCTTCAGCCTTAATTCTGTGCACATTTGGTCTTTGCTTTGTTGTTTGCTAATTGGGTTTCTGTGGGGTTCATTTAACTAGTATAGGCATTGTTTCTGTAATCAATATATTGTCTGATTTTGCTTAAGATTCTAGATAGGTCCAAAATCATTGAAGGTTTGTTTCTTCATTTGCATCCAAGAGACTTGTTGCTGATGTCTCTCATCTGTGAATTACTCACATCTAAAAATCAATATTTATTGGTTTGGTGAGGTGTCCTGGGCAAGACCAAAGTGATCTTATTGCAGAGGATTGGCTATAGTAGTGTGTTTGTGGTGAGGGGAGTTAGTAGTTAGCTCTTGTGCTGCTGAGCAATTTGACAGGTCATCATTTACCCATTTGTACTCCTCATGGTTCAAATTGCTTTCTACGTTAATCTTTACAAAAGTATATAACCCTTTAAAGAAGTGTTATCCAAGAGGGTGAAGTTTCTCCATTACTAGTATTGCATAGGCTGCCATTCAAAATCATCGGAAGCTTAAAAAAACCCCATAGGGATGCAATTCTGAAATATATGTCAGACAAAAAATACTGTGCCATAGTATGTGCTCTAAAAAGGGGGTGGAGTGAATCAGACATTATCAAGTTCAGTTTCACTTGTTTTCTAGTCAAGATAATAAAATGTTCTGACAGCTAGCTATAGGAAAAGAAGAAAGAATTACTTTTACCAGATAGACCTGGCTCAAAATATCTATTTTTATGGCCTATCATATTTGCTTGAACAAATTTATCAGAAGAGCAGAGTGCAGATGACATATTCTAAAGTACCTTCCATTTTTCCTGCCAGTGGCATTTCATGGCAACATGGGGAGGGCAAGGAAAGAAAGATGAAAAACAAGACTCTCATTACTTTATTACCCTGAGCCGATATGCACTAAAATTATTTTTAAACCAGTCAGCTTCATTCCCCTGTGGTGTCATGCAAACTATATCAGCAAAAATTTTTGCCTTCATAAGTTTTGTTTCCTACTCTTTAGAGAGCCATTTCCCAACAGCAACAGAAAGAAAGTGGATATGAATGCAAAAACCCAAGCAGTGGACCTTGGCACAATTCCTGTTGAGAGTGAGTATTTGCAAGGGCTGCAGAGTGAGGACTGCAGAGTCAGGCCTAGTCTACACTTAAAATTTAGGTCATCATAATGCTCTGAGGGTATGAAAAATCCACTCAGTTGAGTGCTATATCTATGCCAACCTAACACCCAATATAGGTGCAGCAAGGTTCATGGAAGCATTCTTCCATCAATCCAACAATCATTGCTCAGAGACGTGGTGTTGCCACAGTGATTGAAAAAATTGTCCTTTGCTATAAGCAACATCTACATTACGGGGGTATTGTCAGCTT